CTTTCCCCACAGAACAGCACCAAACGAAGAACTTTGGGAAGACTGAAAACATTCAAACTCACCTCACAGAGAGTGTGAAGTCTCCTGGGTTACTTTTGCTGGGCCGTGCCAGGAAGCTGCCATCCACTCCCCTCGTTAGCAGCAGGTTTTCTGCCTCCACCCCAGTAATATTTGGATGAAACCATCTAGAGGAGATGAAAATATAAAGAATGTTGATAAAGAAATAGATTTTCTGGGTTTCAGAGTTACCTTACACCGAGTAAACCAACAGCTTCAAATCCAGGAAGGACTGAATTTTATTCCTAAGGGAAGAAAAATCTCCATTCATTATTCATTTCCTTCACATTAAACACTTCATCTTGCACTGCAAGTTGATGTATTGGTAAGAGAATTACACCTCTACATACTCCAAGAACCTGGATGAAAACGGTATCAAAGGTACACAGCGTAAACACAGACCCCAAGTCACATTTCCCTTCCTGCAAAAAAAGACACAATACACAAAGACAAACAGGAAAAAGAGCTAAAAATAAACCAACACATCCAAAGTGACACTGGACAACACTGGAGAGGTTAAACACTGAACAGAACCTCATGTTGGAGGGCCCAGGCTGAGCACGAGGTCGAGCAGGAGCTCTGCTGGTGGACACTCCACTCCTCCTCCAGGGAATGTGGCACCAAGGTTGGATACATCCCACTTAAATACAGCCACAGAGGAATCTCATATTGATCTCCACCACCCACAAACTGCCCTGAATGGCTAGCCCAGGGGTGTGCCAAGGTGGAGCTGGGTTTGGGCCAGACTGCTCCTCTGCTCACCTCGGGTGTTAGCTTAGGAGACAGAACCACCTCCCCCAGAAAGACACATTTTGAATTGCCATGCTGCAGGACCAAATGAGTTTGTAAGGATTGAGAAGATAAAACTTTGAAATTGCAATACCACAGCCACCCATGGGACAGGGATGTGAAGGCAAGCACCAGGGGCTGATTTGTCCCACTTTTATCTGGCAATTAAGAGCTCACCTCTAATTTTCACTGTTAAATCGTAGACACTGCACAGAGTACAAGGAAATTCCTCAGCCACAAGTGCAGCTTGCTCCTCTTTGTACAGGAAGCTCTTGGTTTCTCCAGAGCACAGCTAAAGCCTCCACAACCTGTTTCATTGCTGTTCCAGGAGAGTTAGAGCTAAGGAAAACTGAACAGCATTCCTGATCCTTCCCAACCCAATCAGCATTTCACGCTGAATTGCTCAATCAGCAAAATATGAGAGCACATGTCTAAATTTAGGGCTATTGGTTTGATTGTTTCAGCAATTCCTTCTGCACTCAAAGGTTGTCAATATTCCCACCAAGGCCTTACCCAAACCATTCTCTGCAGAGATATTTCGCAGAGTTTTAGGATTCTAGAACACCCAAACCTCTTGCAAATGCTTCAGATGGGGATTAGGATCACTTAGGTACCAACTCCAGTTCAGCAGTAAATAATTCTTATTAATCTTGGGGGTTTTCCCCAGCTAAGCACCAAGAAAACCTAGGGAACACTTCACAATCACTGAAAAACAACACAGAAATCAAACCTCTGCAGCATGGGCAGAGGAAAATATTGAAAGATACTTCCAAATTATCACAGCAAATGGGAAGGAATCAATTAATTCATTGATCTAAGGATTAGTCAAAGGACAAGAAAAGCTCTGGTTTGATCAGTCTCACAAAAAAACCTCCACAACGACAAACTGAACGTCAAAATACAGTGCAGAGTATGACTGGTAATAACAGCTGAGAATATTTACTGCTCTCCCACTCTGCAAACTGTACTTCCATTAGGAGAAAACCAAAGAAAAGACACCCAAAAAGAAGTGCAGCAACATTCTCAGCAGTTTATAAGCTTTTTAAATGTGCACAGGATTCAAGAGAAACCTTTAAGTTCTTGAGTTCATATCCCAAAATGTAGAAACAAAAGAGAAGTTTTGGGGAACTGGTTATACAGATTTATTATATGGTGATATTCCATAACTTTAATTAACAGACTAACTTCTATCGTACCCTGAACCCCAATAAACTTGAACTAATAAAATATATTCCCCTGAACACTGAGAGATTAACTGTACATGAGTTGCTAAACAGATGGGAAATACAGAAAAACATTAATTTAAGGTCCAGAAGGGACTGGAACTAACTTGTTATTTAAGAGGTGTCTAAAGCAGAGGTTAAAAAGATGATAGATTGTTTGAAACCCCAAATCCCTCACATACACACACAAATTCCTCCCAAAGATGCCAAAACCCAAGTGTGGCAAAGCCAATCTACACCTTGGGGGGGTGAAAGGCTTTGGTGCACTTTATGTAACTTGGGTTCTGATGGCAACTTGTCCTCCTGCTCCCTCATCTCTGTATTTTTGGCTTTGAGTAGGAAGCTGCACTTGTCAGGAACCCCAAATAGAAAAATGGGGGTGTTAGTGATCTCTGCTCGGTGGTTCCGGCCCAGGATGAACATCCTCATTTGAAGTGTTGCCATCAGATGTGCTTTGAACCTTCTCCATCCTTTCCAGCACGGGAGGGACAGCACACACTCCCCAGTAACACAACCCCACGGAGGACTTTCTCCTACACTTCCTTTTATAGGGATGGAATGCATTTGGGGCTTTTTTGCTGCTTTCCCTCTCCCATCTCTGCTAGGAGCAGGTGCAGAGGTTATCCCAGCAAGGGCAGCACAGTAAATGCAATCACAGAAGTAACTCAACACACACAAACCCACACTCTAATTAAACTCCTCCTCACCAGGATCACTCCCAGCAGCAATTCCAGGTCAGGGGCTCAGAGCACACCATTCCCAGTCCCTTATTAGTATTTCCCCCTTGGAAATGTTGGTAGGAAAGCAACCAGTGACCTCGAAGGAGTCTCATCTACACAACTAAAGGGATGATGGATAATTAATGCATGGCAGAACATCCAACCTTCCTACCATCACCTCTTTGCCACTATCACAGCCCAAAGAGATGAGCAGATCTGTGTTCCCCGAGTCAGACACTACCAGCACATTTCTCTCTCACCAAACTGAAGAGAGAAAAAGAAAGAAATCAATAGAATTTTCCATGCTGTGATTGGGCTTTGGGAATCACCTTTCCCAGAGCAGGAGAGATTCAATCAGTTCTGTCTCAGCTGTCACAGCCACAGCACTCAGAGGTGCTGACTGGGAGTTTAATTACTCCTATTTATAGGCTCATCAGTTGATATTTCTCATCTTTTTTTCAGTCTCCCTCACTAGTTACAATTTGCAGCTCTCCGAGCAGAGTGAGAGGATTATTCCTGGCAACAAGGAAGTTCAGAAGTGTCTCCAAAAGGTAACTTATATCTGTGTTTCCACGTGTAAGCAGAGACATCCAGAGAACCCACACAGACTGCAGATCCTCCACAGGCTCCAGAAAACCCCAAATCCCACTGTAAAGGGCAATGGATTGAAACCAAGCCTCTTTTGTCCTCTTTCTTCTTCTGCTTTCACCTTCCCAAGCAGAACAAGAAAGAGGACAACTCACCGTTGAAGGAATTACAGTTTATAGGTATTATTTAAAGAGGTTAATCAATTGAAGCTGTGGCTGCTCCATCCCTGGGAGTGGTCCAGGCCAGGTTGGATGGGGCTTGGAGCAATCTGGGCTGGTGGAAGTTGTCCCTGCCCAGGGCAGGGGTGGAATGGGATGGAATTTAAGGTCCCTCCATCCCAAACTCTTCTGGGATTCAATGATTCCATGACCAGTTTCTGGTAACTGAGCAGTTCTCATTATTCATTGTGGTGCCCAGCATGGATAGAAACTCTTCATGGAATGACCTCCATCCCTGGGAGTGTTCCAGGCCAGGTTGGATGGGGTTTGGACCATCCTGGGCTAGTGGAAGGTGTCCCTGCTCATGGCAGGGGGGGGGTCTGGCTGAGCTTTAAGGTCCTTCCAACCCAAACCAGTCTGTGACTCCATGAATCCCAGAATAAAAAGGATAAAGATGTTTATATTCTTGTCTATGACAGTAATTCCTCTGAAGCCTAATTCACCCAAACCTCTCAGCCCAAAAGCACAGCTCCTATCAGACACACATCAAATGAGTTAAAGCCAGTGAGAAACTACAACAAAGAAACAGGTTCAGCTGTTTATATTCATAGTCCTGCAGTGCCACAAGGTTTGGAAATTAGAGGGGATACAGTTAATAAACCAAGAGCCTGGATAAGAGGAGCTTAGGGAACACTCATTTGAGGTCAGTAAGTCACCAGTGCTGCCCCCGATGGCAACAGGAGCTCCGAGTGGGAGCCAAACACGATAAATTCACCTCTCAGCTCGTGTTCACAGCGAGACTCAGCACATCCCTCCCAGCCAGTGTTCCCAGGCAGCTGTTCCCGGGGAGGGGAGCCAGGGAACAGGGACATCCCCTCGGGAATGGGGTGGCGGCTGCAGGAACAGCGATATCCCCCCGGGAACGGGATGGGAATGGGGAAACACCCCCGGGAACGGGCTGGGAACGGGGACATCCCTCGGGAATGGGGTGGCGGCTGCAGGAGCCGAGATATCCCCCCGGGAACGGGCTGGGAACGGGGAAACACCCCCGGGAATGGGCTGGGAACGGGGACATCCCTCGGGAATGGGGTGGCGGCTGGAG